GGTTTAGGGTTTAGGGTCCCAGCAGCTACAACCGCTGCAAGGTTTTAGGGGCTCATGGCTTCAGGTTCATGGCTTGGCTAAGGTTCCTTAACCCTTCAACGCTCAAAACCCCAAACCCCTAAACAACCCAAGCGGTGAAAAACCCTTCAACACTTAAACCCAAAACCCCTAAAACATCCCAAGCGGTGAACTGTAGGATAAGTCGGTCACAATGCTTCGGGAATGCTGTGACGGTAAAGGCTGCTCGTGTGTGTTTAGTGATAGTGGTGTGCTGCAGTGCAGGGATTTGGGTTTAGTGTTTAGGGCCTAGGGTTTCCGGGTGTTCCACTCGACCCTACATAAACCGTAATCCCTACACCCGATATCATGCAGCTTTCACGCTGCACCGGCGTACCCTACAGCTCTTCCACTTGGTGTTGAAGCCAGGCTGGCCGCTACCCCGTCGCTTGGGCGCCTCGTCCATTTAGGTCTTCGGATTTCCGGTCGTAGCAGAGCTCGGGGAATTGTCATGCTCTTGGCCAAAGAAATGAAGGCTAAACACCCCAAGCCCTAAGCCCTGAGCCATAAACCCCCCAAACCTAAGCCTTTCCACGTGAGGCTTAGAGATTTCTGGCTTGAGGGGCCCTCAGGCCCGGGGAGCAGAACAAGGAAGTTAGTGTAGGATATAGAGTACTAGTACGTATTACATCACATTATTGTCGTTACTATTCTTGGAATCATTAATTTGAAGGAGCTTAGGAGCATGGCTTCTTAGGGGGCTTTGAAGGGATTTTCTAGGGTTTAGGGTTTAGGGTTAGCGTTTGGGGGATAAGGGCTGAGGGTTGGGCTCTTCTTCAGGAGTTTGGCCAGGGCCCGGCAAGGAGGGCTTCTGCGCTTCGCCAGTCAGCGCTTGAAGGATGCCGGTGCCTTTGCCGTGCAAAGCTCTTGGGCTGCACGTGGGGGCGCCACGATGCTGCGCTGCCGCCTGAGGCTGCCCGTGACCAAAGCGGACACTTTCTGCCCCTTCTGTGACGGCATCCAGGACAAGTTTGGCGAGGCTCTTAGCTGTGTGTGTGGACGGGACCGCGTGAAGCGCCACAACCGCCTACGCGGCCTGGTAGCCAGCCGAGCTCAGGGAGCCGGCTTGGCCCCCGAGATGAAGAAACCGGGCCTGCCAACCCACGCTTGGACGCTCAGAGTGCTGCGAATAACGGCATGCGCACGCCCGCTGGAAGGTGGCCTTGGACCCGGAACGCCCCACTGCAGACTACAGGGCGCACAGACGGACCCATCTTCAGACGCAGCCTGTGCGGCTCCCAGGGTCTGCAGTTCGTAGCGCTCGTGGTCGAGGCCTCGGGTGGCTGAGCGCCAACCGCGCGACGGGCTTGGAAAGAGCTTAGCCAGCTCCTCGTCGCAAAGTCGGGTGATGTGGAGGCTGTTGAAAGAGGGCAGGTGATGCAATCGCTGGCCCTCACCTGATCCTCCGTCGCCTCGCCCATCCCGAGGTGGCGGAGGTGCCCTTGGCAAAGCTACGGGCCCAGCCCTGTGCCGCAGTTGCCACCGTGCAGTGATTCTCTGCTGCTTCAGCTTTCCGTGGACCTGCCCCGCTGCATTCCAATCCTTTTTGCGAAGGCCTTGCGTCGATGTTGCTTCTGAGTAAGCTTCGGAGCCCCCTGTTGCTTCAACGTAAGCGTCGGAAGCGCTTGATTCCTTGGTTAGGACCCTGTGGCTGGAAGCCGCCGCCCATGCGCTTCGTCCAAGTGTGATGTGTAATTGCCTTTTGTGATGCTTCGGAAGTCACTTTGTCTCTATCTGTCTGTCAGGAGTTTGGTGTAGGTAACCATAATTTTGTGTTCCTTTACGGGGTAAGGCATGTAGTTTAGGGTACCATAATAGGGATCTAGAATACATAGCAGGTTTTTCTTATCATGCGAACCTAAGTTAAATCTTTCACAAGAAGCCAGATTAAGGACGGGCCGCAGCTGTACTATTTGCCCCGCTGGTGCGATAGCTGCCAGCAGTGGAGCCATTGCTGCATTCCTTCTTAAGTTTTGGCGTGTTGGGTTTCGGGATGCAAATGTACCCCAAACCACCAAAGCCTACTTTTTGCCGGGTCTTGACAAATTCCACATTAGGGTTGCATAACAAGAGCTTGCGCAAGAGTAGTTTATGGCAGTTTGGGTAGGGTTTGTGGACCAAGAGCGTGGGATCTGGGAGGTTTCGGCGGAGGCTCTGGGGATTAGACATGTGTTCCAGGGCGCTCTACACGGAGAGTCATTTTCGCCTCGGCAGTCATACTTTCAAGGCTGTTGGTATCTTTCTCAGCCGAAAAGGAGTCAGCTCGCAAAGTGAATAAATAGGTAGCCAGGGCAAGAAAACGGTCAAGGCAAGGACTTCCGTAAGATGGAGCCCCGCGGAAGGCCTACTGCCACGAACCTCCCAGACTCGCGCTCAAGCTTTTGGCAAAGCCTTGCTGTTTCAGCTTTGCGAAGCTGCAGCTCACACCCTTAGCCAATCGACCAACGTTTGAATGTCGCCTTCTCAATCTAAGGGAATTTTGGCTCTTAGATCTCCCATGAACGCTTTGAGTTCGCGCTTCCCGGAATAACCCTAAACCCTAAACCCTAAACCCTAAACCCTAAACCCTAAGCCGCTTCGGTGCAGGAAGCCTCCCAGAGCTCATCACAGCAAGCGGCTGGGGCAGTGCGTCCTCCGCATGGATCATTATTGCCTTTCGCCTATAGAGGGGTTTTGGGGCTTAGGGTTTAGGGTTTAGGGTTTAGGGTGTAGGGGCTTAAGGTGTTACTGGGTCTTCCTTGCGGTCTGAGTCGAGAAGTCTTTGCGGTTGAGCCTTGATCTTTACGTCCGCTGTCACCTGGTGAGACGACATGAAGTAGATGCACGTGCACTGAACCGCAAGACCAGAAAAGCCCCCTTAACACCGAAACCGCTAAACCCCACCCCACAAAAGCCTAAACTCTAGACCTCACAACCCTAAACGCAAAAGGCCCTAAGTCGTAAGCCTCCAGCGCCGAAAGCCCGACAGACCCCAACACTCATATCAGAAGATCCCAAAACCCGAAAAGCCCTAAACCCTAAAAGCCCCAAGCCCAAAAACTCGAAACTCAATGCCTAAACCGTAAACCTCGAACCCTAAACGCCCTAAGCCTTAAGCCCTAAAAAGCCCTAAGCCCTGAGCCCTTAACCCCAAACCCGAACTCCCGGTACGCCCAGGTGTGATCACGGAGAACATCATCGGACAAAGGCTGTTTCCCCCCTGTCTTTGGGTATTTACACAGGCTTGGGTTTAGTTTTATCAGGGCTAGGGGTGGGACGTTTACGGAGTTTAGTTAACTTGAATCGAAGTTTAAAGCTAGGATTTAAAGCTCAAGGCTTCGGATTGTTCGGCTTCAGGGTAGACTTCTTTCGACGGCGCTGTTTTTTTGGAGGGGGCTCGAAGGCACTGGGATGTTGCAGCAGACGGGAGCTTCTGTTCGGAAGCCGCTGAAGGAAGGGTTCTGAATCCATGATTCTTACTAGGAGGGTTTGGAGTTTAAGGGTCTAGGTCTTATGTTCCATGTCCATGGCGAAGCTCCAAAAGACATTGATGCAGAGACTGATAAATAGATTCAACAACGCACCGATACCTGCTGAACATGCCATACCTAAACACAGACATGCTGAAAAGGAACCACGGATATTTCCTCTTGATGGTCATCTTCGGCAACATGGGCCTTTTGTCTCTCGGCGGAATTACTCGAGCACCCACTCCTGACATTCAGAGCTGCCTGACGCTCTAGCCGTACAGCATGGCTAGTCTTCAGGACTCGCGTCTCTGTCGGCAGCGTGACGATTGTCCTTGGGCCTTTGGGCCTGTTGTTCCTCTGCATCTCTAAACCCCAAAGCGCCACACTCTCAACTTTAAGCCCTCGTGGCTGAGAGCTGTTTCCCGAAGTTTTGTGAGGGGCAAAGGTTCTATAGAATTTGGCTTATGCGACGTTCGTTTGAAAACTCCATCTCAGGTACGCTCTGATCTTTGTTGCGAAGACCGTGCACCTGGCGTGGCAACCCTACTGGGCTCTCTACGGCAAGTTTGCAGCTTGGCCTCTGCAAGCAGGATTTAGGCCTGTATCTGAGTTCAGAGCCAATCAGTTGTCAACACTGAACTTTTCACCCTTGCCCCTAAACCTTAAGCCAACAACCCTAAACCACAAACCAAAAACCCTGAGAGTGCCTCTAAACCCCGGACGGACCGACGTGTTGTGACTAGCGATTCAGTTCTGAGGCTTTTGTGGAGGGTTGGCTTCGAAATGCCACTTCCAGATTTTGGGGTGTGGCTTCCTCTATGATGAGTTACTACAACCGGGATCTATAATAAGTTAGTAGGGAAACTTAAAAGTTAAACGTACAAGGAGCCTTTTTTTCCCGGTCAGCCAGACAGGTTCAGGATTCTTCTTTAGTTTTCCGGCCGAGCCTGATTCGTCTTTCATTTTTTCGGGTTTTTGGGGTTTAGGGTGCAGGGTTTAGGGTTTAGGGTCTTTGGGTGAAGTGTATGACTCAGGGGAGGCCAAAGGTTAAAGGTCTGAAGCAGTTCCTATGCACCCAAAAACTCACCTGCTCTCGCTCGGATTGCCTGCAAGCTCTCGGCCATTTTAAAGCAGTGCGAAGAAAAAGGCCTTCAAAACAAAGAAACCCTCTGAATCCCTCCAGATCTGCTTTGGGGTTCGAGTCGCCCAGAGGCCGCTTATGCGCAGCAGCGGGGGAGTCGCCCAGCAGCAACAAGATCAATTCATTATGCTTTGTATAAGGGTGCCGTACTATATTGGGGACCTAAAAGGGGCCCTAATTTAGAGAACTACCCATGAGCCGGCACGCAGTCTCGCAGGGCTGCTCTGGGGCTGAGGGCCGTGTGAGGATCTGTCGGTTCAAGGCTCGAGTGTAGGGGCCTAATCTTAAAGAATTACCTATGCTATTTTGGGGGCTCCTTGTTAAAAATCATAGGATAATGGCCGTTGTGTAGACTTCTTGAATGCTCAGCGCCTTGTTGCAGAGGCTACTACCAGTGGCTGCTCATGGGCGGCCACCTTCATGTGCTGAAGGCCAGACCCAAGCCGAAAGGAGGGTTGCTAACACAGCTCCCGCAACTCAGACCGGAGGGGTCCTATGATGGGCCCTTCATGTACACGTTCTTTCTTCCCTGACCTGAGTTGCTCGACTTCGACTGCAAGCGAGCTGTACCAAAGCAACCAAACCCGAGACCCTAAACCGTAAGCCCCAAGCCTTCGTCCTGAAGCCCTGAACCCCCAATCCCAAAGCCCTAAACCTTAATCCCAAACGCAAAACCCAAAGCTCTAAACCCTAAACCCTAATCCCTAGTCCCTAAACCCTAATCCGAATCCCAAAACCCAAAGCTCTAAACCCTAAACCCCAAAAAAAACCTAAGCCTCCAAATTAAAACCGAAGCAGCTGCCCAGGCGCTCCTGGGCTACGAGGTGCCGCTTCTCCTGGTCCTCTCCGTGGTTTCCTTGATTCTGTGCTTCGGCATCGTGGATTTAGGGCTTTTCGGACTTGAGTTTTGAGTTTAGGGTTTAAGGTTGGGGGTTTAAATCCTGAACCCTAAAGCCTAAACTCCCTAAACCTTGAGTATGAGTATAGGGTTTAAGGTTGGGGTGTAGGGTTTAGGGTTTAAGGTTGGGGGTTTCGGTTCGAGCCTTGAGGAGTTGGAGTTGAGGGCGATCAATAGGTGACAGATGGATTTTAGGGTTTAGGGTTTAGGGTTTATGGGTTCTTGTTCAGGAATTTAACTTAGCGCAAGCTGGCGTCTAAAGTAGAAAAAGGGGCTTCCTTATCATGCTAGCTTCACATAAGTTCCCCCAAAGAAAAGAGCCCAGCAGATGGGCCAGCTGCTTCAGTTGGAGACTTAGGCGACCTCCCTGGGCTATCACAAACTTCTGACAGCAGAAGCCCCGAGCAGGGTTTCGGGTTTAGGGTTTAGTTTAGGGGTTTAGGGGTTTAGGGTTTAGGGTTTCGGGCTTAGGGGACTAGGAACTTATCCCTAGCACCAGCCGCCAGCCAGTCCGTTATGCAAGGGACCCCCCCCCCCCCCGTGTATCAACGGAGGTTTCCTAAGCCCGGGACTGGGAGCCCGATCTACGCACACTAAGCCCTTGAAGATTTGTGGTCCTTCATCCTCATGTGAACATAATAGGGTTTAGGGTCTAGGGCCTTAGGGCCTTAGGGTCTAGGGTTTAGGGGTTTAGGGTTTAGGGGTTTCGGGTTTCCGGTTTAGGGTTTAGGGTCTGCATCCCAAGCTCAAAGTCTCAACTCCCTCAGGATGCCGCATGGAAGCCTTGTATAGAACCCTCAAAAACACACCCCCCGCTGCGCTAAGCAGGGCTCTGCTACCCCAAACCCGCAGCCCTAAAAACCCCCAACCCCAAACCCATAGCCCTAAACCCTCAACCCAGAACTCATAACACTAAACCATCCACCCAAAACTTAGAACCCTAAACCCTCCACCCCAAAACTCACCAAACACTAAGACTTCGGATGGCCCCAACCCAATCTAGGCTTTACAGGGCTTATTGGGTTTAGGATAAACCCCCAACCTCAAAGGCTGGGGCCCCTGCTTCGGCACGTCGGCAGCCGCGGCTGCAGCTGGAAGGTTTTGGGGGGCCCTTCTTGTCGGGCCTCTCAGGTTTAGAGTCTAAGGAATTTAGGGTTTAAGGATTTAAATTCAGAGGCTTAGGATTTGATTTAGGGTTTAAGGGACTTAGGATCCTCTCAGGTTTAGAGTCTAAGGGGGCTTAGGATTTTGAGGCTTAGGGTTTAAGGAGCTTAGGACCTAGGACTTGGTTTAGGGTTTTTTGGATTTAGGATTTCAGGTTTAAGGATTTAAGTGATTTAAGTTCAGGGGCTTAGGATTTGGTGTAGGGTTTAAGGGACTTAGGATTCTAAGGTTTTTGGGTTTAAGGGTTTCGGGTTTAGGGGGATCAGGGCGCAGGTTTTATTTGAAGGGATCCC